CCTCCCCCTCCCCTCCCCTTCCCCCTCCGGGAGTTTCCTTGGTATTCCTTTCTCTTGGTTGCTGAGGCAGGGGCCTCACAGTCCTGGCCCCGGGGAGCTGGGACTCACTCTGCTCCCTGGGCATAGGCAGCCAGAGAGTCTTGAGAGACCCAAGAGAGGCAGGCTGGTAGTGTGGACTTCAGACTGTCCTGCCCTGGCCAGGCAGGTGACCCAGCCTAAGTCTGTAACATCCGGAACCTTGGAGGTGGCAAAAGGCAAGAGGTTAGGGGCGGTGAGGGAGACTAAGGCTTTCACCTCAGTTGGGAAAGGGGGCTGCCTGCTTGGGACCTAAGGAGGAGCTGGGACTCCAAGGGTCCTCGGTGTGAAATGGCCATTTCTTCTAACGAATATTTCAAGAGCGATTGGTAGCTGCTTCTCACTTTTCTCTTTTGCAGCCGACGGGGTGCCCGGCGTCTGGATGCTCTCCAGCCCTCACCATCTCTCTGTGTTGCGGAAGAGGAGCCTGAGGCTGCGGCCACCGCGTCGCCCCGGCCAGCCCCACAGACCAGCGGGACCGGCCTGGGTCGGGGCGCAGCCGCCCTTGCCCTGAAGTCCCAGGGATGAAGCAGCCCGAGGCCGGGGTCTGGCAGAGAGGGCTGCGGGCCCTCCTCCTCCCACTGTGGGGCAGGCTTGGGATCACATTTCCAGGGAAACGATTTGGGGGCGCCCATGGAAGGGCAGAAGAAAGACCCAGAAAGGGTGCCCCGGCAGGTTCTGGGGGAGCCCGGTGCAGGGGGCTCGAAGCCATCCGGCCGTCCCCTGCAAGCCTGTCCCCGTCCGCCGCGGGGGCGGGGCCGTTGGCAGGGGTCCCTCTGTCCCAGAGCGGGGACGCCGGCCGGCAGCCAGTGCTGAGGGGCTGGGGTCGCCGGGCAGGCGCGTGCCTCGCCACCGGCCCCATTACGCTGTATTTATGTTTGCCTTTATTGTTTTTCCCCTCTTATTACGGTCTCACTCAGGGGGAGGCAAAAGATATAATATATTCATCTTTATTATACCAAATCTGTGTGAAGCATTTAATAAAGCGCTGTTTCCGCGCAGCCAGGGACGCTAGCCCGGCCGCGGAGTCTGTGCCCTGTCCCGGGCGCCGGGCCGCAGCGCCTGCTGCTGGCGGTGGCGCCCCGCGGGCCGACACCTGCACCGGCGCCACACCCCGGCCCGGGCCGCCCAGCCTGCTCCGCACCAAGTCCTCAGCCCCCTGCGCTCGGTGAGTGCCTGCGAAAATAGGCGGGGTTCCTGGCAGCTGCCTTGCACCCAGAGCTCAGGGGAGACTGGAGACCCTGCGTGGGCGGACAGGGTTTCCTGAGGAAAGAAAAACTCCAGGGTCTGTTGGGACGGGGATAGCTGAGAGCCGGAGAGAAACAAGAGGCTGTAAGAGGTTCTGGGAACACAGGCCACCGGGGACCCCAGGGGAGCAGACTCTAGTTTGAGCAGAGCCCAGGGCCCAGGTCTGGGCCTCCTCCAGGAATGATTACCACTGACCTAGAAGAGGTCTGGTCTGTCACCCTCAGCCTTCAGATAGTCCGCCCTGTGTGCAGGGAGACCGTCTCTGTTGTCCTGGTCGCCCACAGCGAGGGAGGCTCAGAACGATCAAGTGTCTTCTTGGAAGTGACTGTCAGGAAGTAGATGACACAGTCTTCTGGACTCCCTGTCCGTCCCTGCCCCTGCACACCTCACCCCTGCTCCAGGGTTTCCCATGGTCTGTAAACTTTACCAGCCTGCCTTCTGCGCGCGCGTGCGCGCGCGCACACACACACACACACGCACACACACACGGAGAGACAGCCTTAGGATGTTCCACCTCCGGCCCCACACTTCACTGTCCTTTAGCGCCCACTGCCCAGGGGCTTTGAGGGCCCAGCGTTGGACACTTCTGACTGGCCCCGTTTATGCACTGGGGAGCACCAGGCCAGCAGGAGGACTTGTGCTGGAGAGGCTTGAAGGGGGTCCCCCTGGACAGGATGAGTCCCCCACAGTTCTCAGTCTTCCTCTGTCCCTTCACCCCAAACTTAGGGATGAGGGCTGCACCAGGTCACTCACATCTTGAGATCTGTTTTGGGAAGCTTCTTTGGGGAGGCTTAAGGAAGCGTCCTTACTTGAGGAGTCCAATAGCATCCCCTCTGGGGAGGAGGGCACAGACCAAGCTGTGGCACCAGGGTGAGGCCAGTGAAATACCAGGGCGCCACATTTAAGGAGACGCTTGCTCCCAGGGTGGTTCAGAGCCCTTACACCCTGTGCTGTGGGCACCTCACCATTCACCCTCCGTCCTGCTGTTTGTGGTGTGGTCCCAGGAAGCAGAATCACAAGTGGTGAACTGCTGAGGGGGCGGGGAGGCTGAGGTCAGCTGGCCCAAGTGAATGCCTTCGGAGGGCTGAGTGTCCACAGAAGAAGGAGATGCTTTGTGTGGCAGGGAGCGCCCCTGGAGCACGCAAGCAGAACTTAGCAACGGATGGAAAAGGTAATGATGCCAGCTTATCATCACTGCCTTCCTCTCTGACATTCTACTGTCACTTCCTTGGTTTCAAGTAAGAGCTGTACCCACGGATCTCATTAATGTTTATAACTGCGTTTGGGCCAGGGGTAGATGGCAAAGTCTTTGACCTCTTAGGTCCTTTCCAGCTCTGAGAGTCTATTGTTGCGTAAGACGAAGAGCACTTGATTTGGTTCACCGCGTTGTAGTTACTGTGTGTGGAGCTGCCACCTCGCTAAGCTCTGTGAGGGCAGGGTGTAGCCAGTTTCCCTCTCTCTGTCTCTGTCTCTCTCTCACGCCCCTCCCTCTGGGTCCCTCACCATTTCCATGTCAATCACAGGCCTGAGCACACAGCAGCAGCTTTTGGTAAATGTGTACCAAACAAACTCGTAAGTAAATATGTTTATGTATGCATGTATATTTATTTATTTTGAGACAGTGTCTCACTTTGTAGTTCAGGCTGGCCTTGAACTATATATCCCAGGCTGGTCTCAATCTCATAGCAATCCTCCTGCCTCAGCCTCCTGAATGCTGGGATTACAGGCATGCACTGCTAAGCCTAGTCTCATGAGTGTATTGAACAAACAGATGTCTAAAAAATCTAGTCCTCTGCTTCCCGGGCCATTGGGAGAGCCAATACTACTCTGCAGTCATTGTCCCTCTCCCGCCACAGCTGAGCTGGGTTCAGACAGGTACTTCTAGGTCCTCCCCCATCCCCTGTGCCCAGCCCCGTGCTGGCTTGTGGGTAAGGCAGTGCCAGCCCAAATTCTGGACCAGCCTCACGGGACAGCACTCACCTGGGGAAGTGGCCTCTGCAGCGTCAGTGTAGGGGCAGGCCTGGCGCCAAGAGGCCTGCCTGGTACAGCTGGGTCTTGAGCTAGTCCTCGAAGGTGGGAAAGATTGAGTGGAGGAGGGAAAAAGCAGAGTTGCGAGACAGAGCGCGGGGTGCCCTGGGCCTGTGCAAAGGCCCAGCTCAGAAGCAGGAGGGTCACAGGAGCAGGCAGGCCTGGCTGGGGAGCCTGGGATGACGAATGAGAAAAGACCCTTGTGGAATGCTTTGACTCCCAGCGAGGGAGACCAGAACGCGGAGCGCAGACATGAGAGTCCACGAGCTGGAGCCCAACAGCCAGGGTCTAGAATACAGGGCCCAAGGCAATGGCGAAGGCCCAGTCCTGCCCAAAGGGCTCTCTCGGTCGTAAGAGGCCACTTGGGGACTCCAAACTTCAGGAACAGAATCTCGCTGCGACAGGGTGGATTCTTCCTGTTGGCACCCAGAGCCAGCACAGGTCTGCCTGCTGCCTGCCTACCCCGCCCAGTGCGACTGTCTGTCTTGGGTCCCCTCGAATCACAGCCTGGAGTTTGGCGTGGTCTGCAGCCCAAGCACCCAGAGCTGGCGCAGGAGCAGCCTGACTGACGCGCCGCTCACCCCCCAGCCCGGCCCTCCATCCTCTGGTGCGGGTTTGCCCGGCTCACCCAGCTGGGCCTGCCCCTGGAGGCCGGAGGGTGGAGCTTGGAGCCTGCAGTGGTGCCCGCCGAGCCAGCATGGAGACGTCACTGCTCCGGCCTGTCTCGGAGCTGGCGCTGCCAAGGAGCCAGAGCGCTGCGCCGCGCGGAGGGTGTCAGGGGTGGTATTGTCGGCACACAAATGCTCAACTTTATGTACTTTTAACTAGAGGTGTAACAGATGGCCCTGTTTCTGTCCAAGCCAGGGAGACTGGTGCCCATTCCGGCTGCAGCCAATCAATCGCGCCACTCTGGGGGGAGCTACAAGCTGGGCTGGGAGGCCTGGAGCCAGCGATCGCTGTCTGCTCGGGCGCCCGTGCTGCCTCCGCCAGCCGCTCCACCGGCCCCGGGAGGTAGGAAAGCGGGCAAGTGGCAGTCCTGCCCAGGGCCCGGGCAGAGGCCTGCCCAGGAGGGAGGCCCGGGCCCACCGGTAGGCCCCAAACGGTCCACGAAGACAGCCAAACCCCAACTTGCCCTTCTTCGTCACTGCTCTCCTACGGTCCCTGCTCAGCACCTCAGCCCCAAATCTTGAGCCTCAGGACGCCTTGAGCCTCCAGATCCACGCCTTTGCTGGGCCCCTCACCGTGGACTCCAGACCTTACTTGGGACTAGGAGTGGGTAGCAGCGCCCTTGGGAGAAAGAGTCACAGGACCATGGAAGGCCTCAGAGAAGCCCAGGACTGCTAGAGAAAGGAGAAAACAGCAGACAAGGAGGGCCAGAGCCAGGAGGGATGTGGATCAATCTTACATGGACACAGGCAGTCAGGAAAACTCAGTGACAGCCTACTATGGGCCACGTCCTTTGTTAAACATAAATAAGACACACTTCCTGTCCTTGAGGCCTTCTGGGGGAGGCAGACAAACACACGGGCAATTGGAGTGATGAGTCAGGACTCATAAAAATTTGCAAAAGGACAGGGAGCTAACCAACCAGAGCATCTAATCGGCCTGGGAGACCAGGGGCGATCCCAGCGGCTGGCTGGCTCTGAGTGGGGTTTAACGGAGAGGTAGGAGTTTTCAGCAGGTGGAGGAGGAAAGGCAGCACACACAGAGCTATGGGAAGAGAGTGCGGGAAGGTGAGGTCGCGAAGATGCAGGTGTGACTGGGCTGCGGCGAGCAGGAGGGGTAGCGGGGTGGGGCTGGACGGGGAGGGGCAGGCCTGGCCCAGGGGGTCTCTCCCCTCGCGGTCCTGTCACCCACTGCCCCTCACCCAGGGTCAGAGGGAACAAAGAAGGAAGAGGCAAGGCCCAGCAGCCTGCAGGCAGGGCTGGCATCGGGAGGGGCCCAGCCGGTGGATCGGGCGCTGTCCTCCCTTCCCATAGTGAAGGTCAAGGCTGTGAGACCCAGGCCAGTTCCCCTCAAACTGTGTACCCCACGGACTTCAGAGCCTCCTAAAGGCAGCCTTTCCTAGGACCCCCGGAAAGAGTGCAGAGGACTCAGTCAGTGAGTCAGTCAGTCACCGGGCGTTGAGCATGATCTGTGTTCAAGGCCGTGCAGGAAGGCAGAGCCGCAGACCGCTGCTCTGGACGGGGCAGGGCTCTCCTCCAGACCCGGGTGGCAGCAGTCTGCGCAGGGTCCTTTGCTTTGCATGGGGCAGGGGCTCACCCGAGTGTCGCAGGAGAAAGGGGCGCTGTGCATGGGGAAGCGCACACTTGTCTTTGGCCAGGGCCTGGGAGCCTGCTGGGACCAAGGCCCCCTGGGACACACTCCCCACCATGCCGATGCCGGAGGGCACCCAGGGGGCCTCTCTCCTCCTTCCCCTCATTATTACTAGTGAAATTAGTAAGAAGTGCTACTGTTGCTGTGGGAGGAAGAATATCACTGACAAGTCCCGAGTCTGATCTGCTGGTGCCCACGCTGTCGCAGTTCATTCTCTTGAGGACACTGCTAGGTTAGCTGGCCTCATTATCCCATTTTACATATGAGAACACTGAGGCTTGAGGAGGTTGGGCCACCTGCCCCACCTTCACGCCAGGAAGTGACAGAGTGGGATCCTCACCCGGGCTGCCCTCCGGAGTGCCGCTTGTAAC